CGTGGTGCCCGGGTCTGGAATCTTCCACGTAAGCCTGGTAGGCCCAAAACGTGTGGGGCCTCAAGGCCAAAACGAAGGCCTGGTAGGCTTACGCTAGCCCTAGTAGGCCCAAAACGTGTGGGGCTTCTGGGCCAAAACGCGTGGCCCCCAAAATGCGTTTCCGGAGCCTTGTGCATACCGCGTGGCCAGAACCTTTCCCCACGTGCAGCCCTTCCCTGATACTTCATGACTGGACTGTCCTACAGGGACCTACAACCTTCTAGAGCCAACAGACCTACGAACAGACTCTAAGCCCTCAATAGACTCAGGTAGAGACTTCTAGAACAGACCATCCTAGGACTACTGGTAGCAGACTTATCTACTAACCGACAGACCTAGGGATCGAGTCCACCTACCCGACCTATAGCCTAACCTATGACACAAAATAGGTCAGGTTAGAATCTCACACAGGCACCGGGTCAATGTACAGGGCACAGGCACAAGTCTAGGGATTGAATCTCACTCAGCACACAAGGTCAAAGTACAGGGTTCAGGCATAGGTCTAGGGATCGAATCTCGGTGTCTGCAAATGTCAGGTCAACTGGGTGAAACCGTTTTACTCCCGCCGTCCTAAATTCGAGGTCCTCCGAGAACAATTCAACTCAAAATAGGACCCTTTCTCTTTCTTGCTCTCTCATAAGTGTGTACTATGTCGGGAGCGGTTTCTAAAAGCTCTGTTCTAGTAAAGCATTTGTCGTCCTCTGATTCCTGATATGCGAACCTGACCTTATATTGCTTTTGGGGACGACCTCGACCTCCTATTCTAAACATGTCCTCTTCCACTATGTGGTCTATGTCATATGCACCATCCATATTTGGCGAAATCATCAATCTCTGCGAAGGGAACCTGTCGGATACAGTGCACGGCAATAAGTTGGATGCATGGAAGACTGGTACGTGTGGAGGTGCGGTGGGATATCTATTGTGTATGACGGCCCGTCCTCCCCTCCTTTGATTTCTAGGACAGGCCATGGTCCTCTATACGCAGTTAAGAGCTTCTGCGATATGTTCTCCTCTGGTGCAAACTCTTTTGACTTGACCCAGACTAAGTCGCCTACCTGAAACTGCGAAGGTCGGTGGTGCTTGTTAGCTTGTTCTATCATACGATGTTGGGCCTTTCTAAGATTGTCAATCACTTTGGAAAGTGCAAATTCTCTAGTTCCGGGTGGTAGTCTCTGAATCTGGTCCCACTTCAGTCCTTCAAAAGGTCTCCTTGGTCTAAAGGACTTATGCAGCTCGTTAGGAGTTCTACATACCTTGGGGAGCATCTCATCTCAGTTCACTTGATCCGATCTAATATACATTTTGAGTAATTGCTGCAAGATCTTATTCATCTGCTCTGTCTGACCGTTCGTCTCTGGGTGTCGGTCTGATGACATCAACAACTTAGATCCATAGACTTTCATAAGATCCTGCCAATTCTGGCTGGTAAACCGCGTGTCCCTATCACTAACTATGGACAGCGGCATGCCATGCTCGCTTACCCAGAAATCAAAGAACTTTCCTATTACTAAATTTGTCCGCCTTTTGTCGGTAGCGGAACAAAAATAACTGCATACTTACTAAATCGATCTACTATGACCATGACTTGACTTTTGCCATGCCTACTTCTGACCCCAATATAAAAGTCAATGGTGCTCTAGTCGTCTTATTGCGCTGCCAAACTTTGCAGCTGCGTACATATTCTATGCAGTCCAATTTCATGTCGGGCCACGTGTAGGACATCATCAGGTTAGCTAGAGTCTTTTGCCAGCCGAAGTGCCCTTCTGTATAGCGGCATTCCCCTAGGATTAGACTACGACTCTCTTCACTATTGGGGATGTAGAGTCCGTCAACGACGTTAGTCTCCTCAAACAATAGCCCGTTCGTGGTTCGATAGTGCGGCTTGCTATCTGGGGCTTCTTTTACTCTCTTCAACAATTCACTATAAACCGGGTCTTGTGCATATGCATCTCTGATCTTCTGCTGTAGATCGGCCCCTATGTCTAGATAGCGTACGATCGCACCGAAGTAATCAGCTCTCCTACTCAGAGCATCGGCTACCGCGTTATATTTTCCATTGACGAGCTTCAACTCGAAGTCAAATTGGTCTATCTCAGCAGCCCATCTAGTCAACTTGGGCATCGTCTTGGCTTGGGTCTTTAACCATCTAAGAGTCTCATAAATTTCCTCCCAAGCAGGTAGTGCTTCCAGTGGTCTAGGGCAGAGTTCTCTCTCGTATGTCGATGTTGCAACCTTCTCTGAGGGCAGCCTGGCTGACATGAACTCTACGGGTCTGTAACCATTGTTGCCATCTTGCTGCAAAACGACGCCTATGCCATACTGACTAACATTTGTAGTGATGACAAATGGCAGCGATGGATGAGCAACTTTGAGGACAGGGTACTCTATTAAGGCCGCCTTCAATTTCTTGAAGGCCAAAGTGCAATCCTGGTCCCACTTCCAAATTGTTTCTTTTTTCAGTAGTCTACGAAGGGGAGCGGCGATCGTAGAGAAATTCCTCACGAACTTCCGGTAGTAGTTAGCCTATCCTAGGAACGATCGTAACTCTATCAGCGTTCGAGGAGTTGGCCAGTCTCCGTTTAATACGTGGCCCAAGTAAAGGATCTTTGTCTTGGCCCACTCACACTTTTTCGCGTTGATCTTAAAGTTAGACTCTCTTAACTTTCCCAGGATCTGCCTTAGATGGCCCTCATGATCCTCGAGGGTCTTGATGAAGGCTAGAATATCGTCTAAATATACTACGACGAACCTGTCTAACCACGACCTGAATAAGTCGTTCATGCAGCGTTGAAAGGTGGCCGGTGCGTTGGTTAGTCCAAACGACATCACAGTCCAAACGACATCACTATGAGCTCGTAATGCTCATATCTCGTCCTGAACGCCATCTTATATTCATCGTCAGGATGAACCTCTATCTGATGGTACCCTGATTTTAGGTCTATCTTTGAAAAGTACTTGCAGCCCTGCACTCGATCTAACAAGTCGTCTATACGGGGCAACGTCTGTGCATTCTTGATCGTGATGGCGTTCAGTCCCCTGTAGTGTATACACATACGTAATTCTCCCTCTTTCTTTGAGACGAATAGAACAGGTGTGCCGAAAGGTGATGAACTAGGCCTTATCTATCCTTTCTCCAGGAGCTAATCTAACTGCCTGCGAAGCGCCTCTAGCTCCTTGTGAGACGTCCTGTAAACTGCTCCCTTGGGCGTTCTACTGCTTGGCTCTATTTCTATGCGGTGTTGGATCGGTCTTGGCACTAGTCCTGAAGGTGCTTCAGACAAATCTTTGTACTCTTCCAGCAAATTGGCAATAGTAGGATGGATCTTCTCTTCCTCCTTGGGTTTATCGGACACTGGCCTAACGTAGGCTACGAACACCTGCTCTTCAAGTTGCTCCTTCGCACGAGTCTGGTGAATGCGGGAGCGCTGAGGCAGCAATGTGCGAGGGGATTATCTACCCCAGACTCATGGTACATGCGGACTTGCTTGACTTCGCCTGATGGACTAGGGAGCCCGCACTCGTGTTCTCTAAGGTGCAATATGGCTCCTGCTGCCTCTCCCCAATCTGTCCCTAAAACTATGTCGAACGGGAGATTCTCCCCAATCTGTCCCTAAAACTATGTCGAACGGGAGATTCTCCTCTATGAGAAGAGTCAAGGAGTGGAGGACCTTCTCTACCTTCCCTTCCTTCTCTAGGCGGAAATATGCGAACTCCCTCGACGTACTCCCCGACTCGCATCCTACTATTGTCTGCAAGGATGCTGACTACAGGCTCTCTTAAACGTTGGACTTTTAAGTTGAGCTTTAATTTCTTCAACGCTCTACGACTAATATAGCTTCTAGTGGCCCCACTACCTATAAGGGCTCCTACTCTAGCTCTAAAGACCTCTACGTCTGCGAGGATTAGCTATCATTTCCCTTCTTTCTTCATCTTGGCCCAGGCTTGCCTTCTCTCCTTCAACTCTTCAACTAAGCCTAAGAGGGAAGCGTCTAGAGAGACTCTGACACAAGCAGTTTCTGGATAGCTTACTAGACGCTGGGCAGCAACCTCTGCCATAGAGATATGTGGAGTGGGAGACTATCTTGCGTGCGCGCTCAGATCCACATACTCCTGTGGTAGGGCAGTTGCGACCCCTACCAGTGACTGTCTTTTGCTGGCCCAGAAGCAGTGCTACTCCTATACTTGGGACAAAATTTAATCACGTGGCCGGGATCCCCACAGAATACATACTGAGACCTATCTATACGACTCTGCCACACACTCTGCTCAATTCCCAAATCTTCCCAAGGTCATCCCTTGGCCGACCTAGGTGCCACGATCCCTGTCTGGGAGGTGACCGACTCTAACGAGGGTGGTTAGACGAGGGACCTTGACCCCTTCCTCCCGCTTGACAGCTTCCATTGCCGCCAACCCCCTGGCCGCCCTGCCCTCAACCACCTGGGGCCCGACCATTCCGGCCAGGCCCTCGTCCTCCTCCTTGCGGCCTCCCTCCGGCTGCGACAACAGCGTAGGTTCTCCCTTTATCTACACTACTGTCCTCCTCCTCAAGTCCCCACTCAATGTCTGAGTCGGGTACTTCCTCTGCACCACCCTCTTCCATTGTTAGGATTAGACTATCCTTGGCCTTAATTTGGCCTGAGATGGTGCGTCCCTTCCATGTTTTTCCTTTTGTTAGATCTCCGTGCCAAAACGTGGTAACTGGCAATGCTCGAGCGGCGAATGCTACATCCTCCCTACTGAGAACATCGTAAGTCATCCCTAGCTGTTGCTTTTTCTCAAAGAAATGCCCTTGCACATGCTCGGGCAGGGCACGATAAAAGAGTTGGGGTAGCTGGGCATCAGTTACTCCATGCCCAGGCACAATGATCAGCTCGTCCATAGCGGATTTGAGTGCATGCACACTCTTCCAATGGTGTGTATGGATCATCTGTAATTTATCAGAGGCCTTAAGCCCTCACGTGACGTCTGAAAACCGTTCCTTGAGTGCTTCAAGGAACTCAGAGAGGGGCGTGACTCGTGAATATGTGACCATGTCATAGCCACAGTTCGCGGCCCATGCAAGCGACCTGGCAAAGTTGGCCGCCTCTTCTTTCAATGCCTGGAAGGCCACTAGGACATGGTCTTCTGGCACGACACCCTGTAGATACAGATAGGAGTTAACACTGGCCTCCCAGTTGTCAAAGTCGTCTCCTTTCTTTCCATTGAGGGGCTCAGGGAAATGGACTTTGACTTTCTCGCGGCGTGGGGCAGGCTCCTCTTCCTTGGAAGCCGCTATCTTGACGCCCTCAATGGCGCCTGTGCATAATTTTCCAGTCTTACTGATCACGAGGTGGGCTTGGTACACCAAGTACTTCATCATATCACGTGCAAAATCTTTGAATCCAGTGCGCATCGCCTCTAACATGATATCATGACCTGTGTAGCATCGTGTTCGGGTTCAGTGACCGAACCCGAACGTTCACGACTGAACGAGAACGATCGCCAAAACCCTCCGAACGCGAACATGAAAAAAAAAAAAAAAAAAAAAAAAAAAAAAAAAAAAAAAAAAACATCGCAGGAAAATCTGAAAAACATATATGTGATGTAAAATAATAATTCAAACAACTTTTGCCTTGGAGGTATGGTCAAATTCGTAACCAAATTCGAGTCAAAAATCAAAAACCAATTTGCTTTTTTTTTTTTAATATGTTCGGCCCAACACGTTCGGGAGGCGTTCGGCCGAACACCCAAATATGTTCGGACGTTCAGAAAAGCTCCAAACATGTTTGGTGTGCTACACAGATCATGACTACGAAGGTGTTGCATCTGCTCGCGTTGCACGGTCAGTAGGGATTCTAAACTATGTGTCAGGGTATCAAGTTTAGTTGCTATCTCAGTTTCTTCCCTGATCTTCCCCATCCTGGTCTCTTCCGCTTTTAAATCCCTTTCTGTCCTTTCTGCCGCTTCCACATGTCTAACTCTCTCTTGGGATAAACACCATTTCAACGCCAACTGCTGTTCCTCCTCCTTCGCTCTTCTCCGCAAAGGGTCCCTTTCTGCCTCCAACTCCCTTCTTGGCGCTTCTCTCTCCTCTGGGGGTATCGCCAACTCGGCCTCTCTATCTTCCCCCAACTTGATGTGTGCCACCCACTCATCAATCTTCTTATGTACCTCCTCTGGGGAGATTCTACTCGTACTCGCCTCGCCCCTCCTTCTTTGCAGCGGCTCCTCTTCTTTGACTTCTTCTTCTTCCTCTTCCTTTGCCTCTATTGCTGCCATCTTCTCCTCCTGCTCCTTCCACCTTTCCATTTCTTCCTCCATCTGCGTCTTTTTCGCCTCTTGTTCCTCTCGCAGGGCTACCATCTTCGCCTGCTTAATCAGTTCCCTCTTCTCCATCTTCTCCGTTCTTTCTCTCAAAAGGGCGGCAACTTTCTCTTGTTGTTCCCTACTATAGGGGGTGTTACCAACTCCGGACCTGGTGGTCACCATGGTGAAAGTGCACAATCAGAGACGATTCAACTCCTCAACACATAGTTCTACAAGTTTGAACTCACGTCTAAAGAACTTCCTATCCACTACTCGCGTCTGTTCTAGGCTGTCACTAGAGGACTTATTGGCTGATCAGGAGGCATTTAAGGAGATCCCCCATAACTCCTCAAGAATTCTTTAACGTCGCAGACAGGACGGCGCGATCAGCTGAGTCCTCTAAAGACTTAGACAGCTGGACGCACAGCCCACAACTCGGAGTTTGGCCCTCCCACGCCACACTGAGCAGCCCGCCAGTCAATACCGGTCCTTGGGGGTCTTGTCCTCGGAACGTGTCAGTCGTCAGACGCGGCCTTTAGCCTTACTAAGTCCCGTGTGGGTTTGGGCTCGCAGTTCTACGACCACATCCACTGAGTCCTATCGACCTGGACAGAAGTGACAGGGAGATATGACTGACTCTGACAGATCTGACGTCAGCAAGTACCAAGGTGAGGGTGCACATCCACAGGGTAAGGGCTAGGCCAGGGCTTGGAGAGAGAATACCGCTCGTCTTCTTGCTCCAGCTTGGTCAAAGCTCCGATCAACGGTCTTGGTCAACACGTCGGTCAATGGTCTGGGTCAACATGCCGGTCAACGACCTTGGTCAACGCTCCGGTCAGCACGGTCAATGCCAGTCAACTTCCCTGGTCAACCCTCCGACCTCCTGACTATGGTGGTCGACCTTCTCCTTCGTCGCCCTCTTCTTCTTCCTACACCTTGGCTATGGCTTCTTCACCTCCCTCTTCGTCAACTCCCTTCCTCTTTCTCTCTGCGTCACTCCTTCCTCGTCTCTTGTTGGTTGTCCTCTTCACTGAGCTTGGCAGCTTTGGCTGCTGTCCACTGTGGCCTCCTGTCTCCCACTCTCTCTGTCTCTCTCTCACTCTGTCGTGCTCCGGCTATGGCGGCTTCTTCCTTCTTCAGCTTGCTGTAGCTCTGGTGTGGACAACGGGAACCAGTTCTGATACCAGTGAAATCAGACTGCACTCCAAACTTGCTTGCAACATGCATACATGGACAAACCGATGGCAAACCAACTTCTCCAACTCAGAATCAACAATGAACTTGCACTTAAAACTCAGTTCAAGTCAACTGTAAAACTTGCGGCTATGGCCGCCGAAGACCGTCTTCACCAACAGCCTCACTCTCCCTCATGTACACATGTCCGAGGATCTACCCTGAATGCCCACGCTACACATACACACATACTCTGTCTGTGACAGCAGCTGGGCGGCTATGGCCACCGTTGTCTTCCTCCTCCTAGCTATGGCCGCTGTCGTCTTCTTCCTGGCCAGCTATGGCTGTCGTCTTCCTCACTTCCCACTTCAGCTCCAGGCACCTGCAGACCTCCACGCACAAGTCACCAAGGCAGCGCTTCCGCACAGCTCACAGGCGAATGAATGAATGGCTGGACGCTGCCTCTTTATTTATACTTCTTCGGAGGTGGCCGGGCCCTGCCTCAAAACACGTGGGCCTGGGCCAAAACGTTTGGGCCTGGCCCCTTACAGCATGGGGCCCAGGCCTAGAATCTTCCAGGCCGCGTAGGCCTGGTAGGCCCAAAACGTGTGGGCCCTCTGGGCCAAAACGGCCAAAACGCGTGGCCCCCAAAACGTGTTTCCGGAGCCTTCCGCATACCACGTGACCAGAACCTTCCCCCAAGTGCGGCCCTCCCCTGATGCTTGCTGACTGGACCGTCCTACAGGGATCTACAGCCTTCTAGAGACTACAGACCTACGGAGTGACTCTATGCCCTCAGTAGACTCAGGTAAAGAACAGATCATCCTAGGACTACTGGTAACAGACTTATCTACTAACCTACAGACCTACCTTCTTCCCCCGAATACAACGTACGGTCATTATAGCTGTATCTAGACTGAAAGATGCCTCAAATACAGCTATAATGACCGTACGTTGTATTCGGGGGAAGAAGGTAGGGATCGAGTCCACCTACCCGACCTTCAGCGGAACCTTTGACACAGAATAGGTCACGGGTTCGAATCTCACACAGGCACTGGGTCAATGTACAGGGCACAGGCACAGGTCTAGGGATCAAATCTCACTCAGCACACAGGGTCAATGTACAGGATTCAGGCATAGGTCTAGGGATCGAATCTCAGTGTCTGCAAATGTTGGGTCAACTGTGTGAAACCGTTTCAGTTCGGTAAAAAAACAAAACAAAAAAAACTCTCAAGAAAAAAAATCTGAAAAAGGAAGGACCTTTGTCACCTTTCAACTTTCTTGATTTCAATTTCAAACAAAGGGGGGAATTAGAGAGAATCCAATCAAATACAATGTACCATATGACGAGTTGAAGAAACAGGGAGAATTTATCTTTTATTTTACTTTCAAAGTTACATTTTAGTTCTGTATTTATTATTTAATTAATACTTTTCATTTATGATTCCCCCCCTTCCCCCCCCTGTATGAAGTACTATAACCAAGGGGAAATAAGCAAGATCCATGCAAATGCACGTGATGATATGCATTGGAGAAAAAAGGGAAGCAATTTTTTTTTTTTTTTCCCGTTTCAAAGTTTACGACTTACACATTTTATTTTTCTTTACAATTAAATACTATTTCAGTATTTTGTAATCGCAGTAAAGTTTTGCTATTTGCTCTCTCTTTCTTTTTTCTTTTTTTTTTTTCCTTTTTTTTTTTTTTTACAACAGTTGTTATTACCAAAAGAGAGAGAGGCCGGGGACCTCACAATTCAACCCGGAGTTATCCCGGCAGCATCAGCCGGTTTAGCTTATCATGCACAGAGTCGATGTAACATGAAACCAGAGAGCCAGTGAAGTCATACAGACCCCCGAGATGAAAACGTCGCATAGCCTAACCTAAAATTCTTCCAAAACAGGAATTGAGCCTTGAAGCTCAGTAGAAGAGGCAAATGCAACTAAAATCTTCTATTGCCTGCTCTGACAAGAGGAGAAACCCTTTACCCCAACTAGCAGACACTCTACCTTCCCTCTGCCTCACTGTTACTGGATGTCCTTATCCAACCAGCTACAAATAGTAAGCTTCCCTTCGGGAGATACCTTGGCCCATCGGTCCTTCAAAGCCCACGTCTTGTGGAACCACAGCCAGCCCTTCCGTTGTTGATCAGCAATGATTGTAAGTCTGATTCTGGATTTGATGTAGTTCTTCAGTTGATCGAACCCCGTGTCTTCATCCTTGAATAACTTCTGATTCCGGTCCCTTCAAATTGCACTCATTATGATGCCTCTGCAGACCTGGGCTATGTAAGGCCACCCATGATCCTTTGGGGGGTATGTGTCACAGCAACCAAGAAGAGTCCATAAGTCTGTCCAATCACTGGGGGCTGTTTTAATCCTGGCCCAATGTCTCCTCCACCACTGCCAGATGCGCAGGGAGTGAGGGCAATGCAGCCAGAGGTGGGGGGTGGATTCAATTGCCCACCCACAACGGGCACACGTCACAGAAAGATTCATACCCCTATTTGCTAGCCACGTAGACGAAGGAATAGCCTGCATCGACTGTAACCACAAGGAGCTGGCCACTTTTTGATCCGGTAACCTGCAAAGTTGTTTCCAGAACTTCAAAAGCTCCTCTTCTGTCACTCTGTGTGCCGTCTCCCCTACCCATCTCTGCACTGCTGTTGGACCTGGAGGCTTCTTGTTCTTGGAGAGCAGATGTTGTCTTCCCACTCTGGTGTGGTAATGTGCCAAGGGGACAAACGACTCTTTCTTATCTGCATCTTTCCAACAGTTTAAGTAAGGCTCAACTTTATAAGATAGGGCTGGTCTGCCTCCGAAACATATTTCCTTCCCATTGGGGCCCTTCTTGATCCAGACTCGAGCCTCCTGCGGGCTCTCATCCCAGTGTATCCATTCTTCTTGCTTAAAATTTGCTCTCTCTTTCAACAACAAGAGAAGAATTAAACTAAAAAAGAAGAATGACTCCCCTTTCAACCCCCC